ATATATACATATATATATAAACTTCAAGGAGATTAAAAAGTATAATCTACATAAAACAAGAATAGAATGTTATCAGGGGCTGGGGATTTAGCCCAACGGTGCTGCGCCTGCCTGGCAAGCGCAAGGTCATGAGTTCGATTCTCGGTGCGGGAGTGGGGTGGAGAATAGAATGTTACCAAAAGGAACACTCATAAAACAATAAAATGCCCTTGGAAATTTAAAAAAACCTGAGATTCCAACAGACTGGGAAATAAAATGATAAAAGTCATCCAGAAAATAAAACAAAAAGATAAAACGAACAAGAGAGAAGATAAGAAAGTGAGAGAATTGTTTTTGAAGTCACATCCACTCAGCACGTGATCCAGAAGTGGAAGACAAAGAAAACAGTGGACATATAATTACCAGAGAAATAACATAAGAAAATGTCTTAGAACTAAACTGTGCAAGTGTTCAATGGCTGGAATAAAATATATATATATATATATACACACACACACAGAGCACATCATGAAATTTCAGAATGTTAAAAGAAAATCCTAAAAATGTCTAGAGAAAAAAGGATTATATATAAAACATCAGAAATCAGAAGGATAAACAATAAAAATAAAAAGAAATCAGACAGGCTTCTAATAGCAACATGAAAAAGAGATGGAAGGAGAAAGCCTCTGTGTGATAAAGGACTTCCCGGAATCTGGGTGAGGCGCTGGACTGTAATGTGCTGAAAATCTATAGAAAATACGTTCGGGACAACGGACGTGAGGAAAATTCCAGCGGTGTGTTAACCCACGGAAAGGTCACTGTGAGTGGCTGTGACCCAAAGTCACTCCAAAAACTAAGCAAGTGGAAAAAGCAGTGAATATTTAATCATGTGCTTACTTCGCAGCGCCACAGGTCGAATGCAAGATCTTTCGCATGCTGGGGAAGCACTTTCCCTCTGAGCTACATCCCTAGCCTAGAGAGATTAATTTCATCTTTCCTAACATTAATTTTATTAATTTTATTAAATTTTATTAATTTTAAAGAAAGAAAAAAGTTACAAGGAAGGGTATATTATAGCATTGCTATTTGGCTCAATAGGGAACACTATTTTCATGAACATAATGTTGAAAAATTATTTTTTTTTAAGGTACTGAGGATTGAACCTAGACCTTTACACTGCACCATATCTCCCAGCCTTTAAAAATTTTTTTAAAAGAAATTTCGCAACAAGGTCTTGCTAAGTATCTTAGCTCCCCACAATGGGCTTGAACTTGCAATCTTCCTGCCTCAGCTCCCAGAGTTCTGAGATTATATGCATGTGCCACACATCTAGCTCATGCAAACTCCTAATACAAATTCAGCAAAAAGTTATGATAAACATTACCTTGAAGCTGGGCATAGTGGCACGTGTCTGTAATCCCAGCACTCTGTAGGCTCAGGGAAGAAAAGTGCCACAAGTTCAATGCCAGCCTGGGCTACATGGTGAGTTCAAGGCCAGCAAGACCCTCTCTCAAAAAACTGGGAAAAAAATTACATTGACAGACAAAAGGTATGTGGTATACGGTAAGTGAGTTAGTTACAAGTGCTAAATCTTTTATCTGGAATAAATGCATGATATCTAATATTGGAAGCCAACAAAGAAGTATAACCATATATTATAGAAATATATAAATGATACTGGAAACAATAGCTAGAAGTCTAAAATGGCCTCTAGTGAACAGGACTGAAGGGTAGAGGAGGTAAAGAGGAATTTTTGCTTTTCATAATACCGTTTAACTCTTTGTTACTACTGATCTACATGTCTTAGTTTGATAAAAATAAATTTGAATTTTAAAAACTCACACAGGCAAATTTGAAAGGATATGAGGAGAGAGTTCACAGAAAAAGAACTTCCTGTGACCAAACACCTGAAAAGACGTTTGACCTGAATAAACTAAGACAATATGTAAATTAAAACCAAATGGAGATATTCTTTCTCATCTGTCAGACTAACAAAAATTCAACAGTTTGCCGGAGAGACAAACACTACCAGTTGTCACTTGTATGCGAAATCTACAGCAATTACAATCAGCGAAGCAGAGAGTAATGACTCTCAGAGGCAGGCTGGGAAATAAGAGCTGATAATCAAAAGGTACAAGTTAGGTAGGAGAAGTAAGTTTGGCTTTTGATTTTTGATTTCTGTCTTGAGAGGCACTGCACGGTACTCTTCATCCCCGTGTCACTGGGAAAGGGAAGCTTGGATGTTCTCACCACCAAAGATGACAAGGATGGAAGGGATGGATGGGATGGTTGGCTTGATTTGGTCATTCCTCACTATATTCCAACATCATCACATCTCTTGTACTATAGATAATTTGTCAATATATCATTTTAAAAATTCCACTATTACATGCTACTATCTTTTACCAGGTGCTGGGGAATATAAAATGATTCTGTCCCCACCCAGGAGAGGCTGGCCATACCACTAAGACTGCAGATGCATTTGACTCAATAAAACTCTTCCAGAAGTGCATCTCCAGATGCTCCTAAAAACTGACTTATCACAAGGTTCTTCCTTACAACATTGTAATAACAAGAGATTAGAAATTATCCAACTGTCTGTCAACTGAATAGGTGAAATAAACTGTGGTCAGTTACTTAGTGGAACGTATTTATTTTATTAATGAATAAGGAAAAAAAACCCTACATATTTAGGCTGCCGGGCATTCCAGAGCACTGAGAACCGTGTCGAAAGCCTCCCAGACTCCCTGGCCTTCTGAAGTCTGAGCAGAAGAGGAACTTGGCTCCTAACTCCTTTCAAAACCTTAGACACAGCAAGAAAGCACTGAGGCAATGCCAGGCCTCACATCAGTCCCCACTCCAAAGCCTGGTTTGGTTACTTTGATATGAACCGTGACGCCTGGGACCTCAGCTCCTCGTCTGCAACGCGAGGATAAAATCCCCACCTCACAGCGCTGTTGTGTGCATTGAGCGGCTGGTGTGCACCACACAGGTGGCACTGGCCCTGACCCCCATACATGCTCAACAAACCACAAGGCATTACTAGTAGCAGCACCCAAGAAAAGAGTCCTGTCTTAAGGACTGTATTCCTTATGGAAGGACGGCTATGCTGGAAATCCCTCGATACCAATCTAAAGGTAGTCCTCTGAAGAAAGGAATAGGAGGAACTTCCCCTCACCACCAGGAAATTTGGGAAGAAGCTTCGTAGCCACAGACACACAGACCCTCATGTGCCTGCAGCTTCTCACTGCTGCAGCTTGCTCTAGGGACTGACAGAGACCCGCCCTGCGTGTCCTAGACCAGCAGGTTAGAAGAACAGAGCCCAGATTCTCTCTGTTTAGGTGGGAAAACCCAAAGACCAGAGAAGGGCAGGGTTGTGTCTGGAGCACACGGCCAGCAGTCATGTCCGATAGATAGTCCAACCCATAACCAAATTACTAACCAAGTACATGGTGGCCGTCTTCCAGCGATTCAAAACAGAAAGAATGAACCTAAAACAAGCACCTAGGACATTGATAAGCTGGCCTTCATTCACTCCCAAGAGGGGCGTGATCAATTGTGAAAAGCAAGTGACCACTATTGGTAGACTAAGTTATCTGTTTATGCCAACCCAGTTTTACAGCTATGCATATGCTTTATCTTCATACACTTCCTATAGGAGGAAGTCCCATACTCCTGGGCAGCTGGCACTGCAGTAAATGCAAGGATTTCTAGAACAAACAGAACTCCTGCTCCACCAGTGGTCAGATATGTCATACTGGCTTCCATTTTCTGCAAAAGGGAACATCAGCCACCTTCATCACAGTCTTGTAAAAATAAAATGAGATAGCTATGCCTGCGGGGGCATAGCAGACATGATTCCCTCAAATGCAGAAATCCCCTCACCTTGCCAACATGTGGGAGCAACCCAGTCCCACAACAGTGCCAACGGTGCCCTGTAAATTCCAAAGAAAGATCTCCCTAGGTGCCTCAAAACAGTATAACATTTTCCTTCTTAATTTTCTGAACCAGAACTGAGAGTTAAGAAGACTCTTGCTATGAAGAATTACAAAGGTATTTTTTTTTTCAAGTTCCCCAAATTGAAAGATCCACAACTTGAGAGATCCACATGGCCCTTATATACCAGTATCCCACTCTATCCACACTGGGAGGGACAATACTAGGTCCAGCCGCCTTCACTGGGTTCCTGATTCTCCCTCATTCCTACCCCAAGAATTTGCTGATGGTCAGCATTCATCATAATAACAGTTCTCGGTGGAACGAAGCAGAATCAGGTGAAGAATTTCAACAAAAATATATTAAGCATCTACTGTATGCGGGGCACTGTGCAAGACCCTTTTCACTCTTGTGTTTGATTATCAGACAGCGTGGACAGGTAATCCCCACAGTGCCCATCTCACAGGTGACCAAGTGGATCCCCCGAGCACTATGCAACTTGCCTCAAGTCTCATGGTCAAAAAAAAGCCAAGTGGGGTGAAACCAGACCTTCTGGGAAGCCACTGTGAGACCACGAGTTTATTGTCATCAGGGGAATTTCTACATGTAAAGCTCTTTTATAATTGCTTTCTTCCCCTACCACACACACACACACACAAGCCCCTCACTTGCAAGCTGTTTGGTAACTCCAAAACAAAAGCCATATCCGCATCCTTCTTCTCTGTCCCTCTGGTGAACAAAGACAGCATCGTGTTTCCAACACATTAATCAGACTAAGGAAAGAGGAAAAAATTCCCCACAACTTAAGCAATTTTCCATCCTTTAGAACAAGGGCGGACACATACAGAGAAGGTTTACCATCATACACAAGCGTTGCTTTTTAAATGCTGCCAATCGGTCTCTGTTATGTTGTAGTTTAAATACTGAAGTCTAAAGTTTGAGAGCTGCCTTTCCTGGATCTGAAGTGGACACATGAGCCTTAATAGAAATCTACATACACATGAATGTAATAGTGAACCACTTGGACTGGGCACAGATTTTCCTTGCAACTTGCACCCCATTTGACTGATTGTAGCCGTGCTAACCTGAAATAGTTGCTGGCCGCGGCAAGCACCACGCGGTGGCAGGAGAATTCCTGGATGTCCACACACAAGATGACATCTGTCAGAGCATTTTCCACTCGGAGGGTCTCCAGGCCATTCTGAAGAATTAAGGAGAGTTCCGCATCATCAAATTTCACCTTCTCCTCATTTAAGATTTCCACCGTATCTCCCCTTTTCTGGGAGGGCTCATCTGCAGCGGGTGCCAGGGGCCCTTCCAAACTCTTCTCTACCACGTCGTCGCCCATAGTCCAGGCGCCCCTTTGTCCTGCCATCGACATCCACACTGAGGGAGCTCCCAAGTCTCGGGCAGGTCACATTGCAGAAGCTGAGCGGATTTCCTGTGCAGGGCCCTCTACTTATCACTAGCTGTCACACACACATAACAGGAAGTCTCGCACTCGCTCATCCTGTTACTACAAACCCTGGCAAGTACTATTCTTCTTTCTGTGAAGTTTCACCACGTTAGAAATGACTTAGAGGGAGTGTGTAGGAGGGGCCTCTAGGCGAGACGGGGCGGCTTCTCCGAGAGTTGTGTGGTTATTTTGGTCCGTCTCCCACCTCACATCCGTGAACAGGAAGCCTCTGGTTCTGGTTATTACATCTGCATTCCTGGTGCTTCATGAATCCGAGGCATCCATGAAGGGATGGGCAGGGAGCATCCACAGCCCTCCTCGCCCCTCCTTCAGGACTCTGAGACCCATCATGATCCCCTACCTGTCTCTCGGGAACCTGAACCCCCCTCTTATCCCCGATATTCTCATTCCTGTCTCAAGCACGTCTTCGGTCCTTGTGTCCCTCCCTGCTCATGGGAAAGCAAGGTCAAGACAAACATGAATGTCCCCCATCCAACACCAGTGTCTATTTTTTGAATATGCCTGGAGAAGGGAAATAGTTTCTAGAAACTCCCTCCCCAGGGCCTTTGCCTTAAAACATCAATCGGGATGGATCAACACTTGACTGCCCTAGCAAATCTCAAAATTAGCGGGATCTTACCCAACACCTACTGACCATACATCTGATGGTAGATGATGAAGTATTTTTCATTATCTCAAATCCCACTATATCCTAGAGAATTCAGAGAGCCTAGGGTATTCTTATTATACGTGTTTGTGGTACATTATAACTGCACTTATTATAGAGAGTTGGTTCATACGCATAACACCTACTTGTTTATTATTATTCGTCTCCTACCCCTCTCGTCTCTCCCTGCTCCTTCCAATTCTTGGTGATCTTCCCATTACCAAAAGCTCTATCCCATTTTTTTCCTTCAATTTTTTCCTTTGCCTCTCCCACCTCCATCCTCCTCTATCTCTTATTCCCCTTTGAATTTGAAAAAAATCTCCCTACTTCTTATTGTCTTTTATTTTGCTCTTTTGTATTTTGTTTTTCTGATATAAGAGAACCCATATGATCTTTAAGTTTGTGTCTCTGATTTATTTCACTTAATACCATTATAGTCTCAAGATGCATCCAATTACCTATGAATGCCTCAAGTTTATCCTTCTTTATGGCAGAGTAGCACTCTTGTGTATAAATAGCACATTTTCTCTATTCATTCACCTGTGATGGGCATCGTTATGGCCGTGCCTAGATCCTGCCCCTCCAAAGCCTCATGCACTCCTAGCTGGGGCTTTTTCAGAGATGATTGAATCTACAGTGTGTGACACTGGATTCATGGTGCTATGCTAGGCTCAGGGGCACTAGGATTAAAGGTGTGAGTGCTTCTAGTGGTTGATTGATTATGTCAACTTGAGAAGTTTAGAAGCATAACTAAACTTGGCTCAGCAGTTGGCCCAGCAATTCTACACCCTAGGGTGGATCATCACCTAGATGATATAAAAGGGAAATAAATAAGGACAGAGGTACTTCCGTTCCTTTTGGAGGAGCTCCAGTCTTCACCTTCAGCTTGGACTTGTCTCCTGGCTTCTAGTGCAGACTCTTTGGCTTCC